GGGGTTCCTGGAGGCGGTGCCTGGGAGCCTCGGGCCCGGGAGGAGGAGGGAGGACTGCGGCTGGGCGGCCCCGACCAGGAGCGGGCCGCCGGCGGCATCCCCAACCCGCTCGCCTCCCTCCTCCCCTCCCTCCCTCCGCCCGCCCTCACCTCCCTGTCTCTTGCCTTCCTTTTTCCCTCCGCCCTCCGTGCCCCGAGGAAAGGCGTGCTCCTCCCCTTCCCCTGGGGCCCTCTCCCTAGCCCCATCCCGGGCTGCGGTTCCCGCCGTGGCTCCAGCCCGGGCGCTGGGGGGCTTCCGACGTGAGGGCGGCTTTAAGGTCCCAGGTTCCTTCTCCTGTAAGCGCGGTGCTTAGCCGGTAGCTCACAGAGGCGGCCGCCCTCCCCACCAAAGGAAAAAGCTGGCTTCGCCTTACTGCGGAGCCGGTCGGGCGGGCTGGTGCCAGAAAGGGTGTGTCTTCGCCCTAAGATGGCCTTTAAGGTATACTTTTGGGAGCTTTAATGAGCCATTTTCCGTAAACACGGGATGCACCCGAGGCTGCTGGAGCAACTGGAGTGGTCATCTTCCTGGTGGGGAGGGTGTGTGTAGATTTTATTTGGAAGGATGAGCCTGGAAGGAGGACTGGCTGATCCACGAGAGCCTCTGGATACAATAATCTCGAGAAAGGACGAGAGGCGGGGGTGGGAGTGCTGACCCGCGGAAGAGCGGTTCCCCAAGGAAGGAAGGGTCCACGGGACAGGGGAGGGAACGCTGTGGGGATACCAGACAACGGGAACTGTGATGACCCGCAGCTACGCCAAGAGACTGGGTCCCAGATCCCAACGGGGCCAAAGTCCAGTTGAGAAAAGTTGATACAGAATAACAGCCGAAAATATCACTTGATGAGATGAAAGGACCAGGTTGTGGGAATACTGGTAGGAGAGAATGTGCTTCATTGTATCCAGAGCTTGCACAGTGCCTCGCACTTAGGTCTTTGAAAGTTCTGGGGGCTCCTCCATGTGGTGATGGGCGAAGAGAGAGGGTGCATTCTTTGGGGACTCTAAATGGGTTTTGAAGGAGGTCACTGAAAGGCTTGGACCTGGTAGAGAGGATTAGGAGAAGTGGGAATGCACAACTGTATCTTTGAAAAGCACAAAATGCGAAGGAGGGCTGGCTCAGGTCAAGTAGCTAAAGTCAAAGAGCTGAGTGCCAGCCTCTGTGCTCCCGGCGACGGAAACTGGGTTAGTGGCCTGTGCTGGTGGCACACCATCAAGCCCTTGGTCATGCCGGTAAACAGGCTCTTCAAAGCTCATTCCTTCATCTCTCCCCCCTCAAAAGCCGTAGTTCACGTCCTGAGCCACACGTGACTGATTTGGGGGGCCGTGGAGGTCATAGATATGTACCCGAGGCCTAGGAAGGTGAAGTGATTTGCTCAAGGTCAAATGGTTGGTTAGTGACACACCAGACGTCCCTGATTCCTGAACAGCCTGTGGTCTCCGCAGCCTGAATAGTCACCCAGTCCTTAACATTGCCTTAAATGCAGAACTCTGAAGTTATTTTTCAGATGAGACTGGGGTGTTTGTGGTGCTGAATTAATGGACCAGAGAGACGTTTGACTAAGTTATGTCCATAGATCCATATATCCCTTTCGTAACCACACACCTGAACAGTAGTGGTAAAGACAGCAACACACCTGGGTTATGGAGGCTCAACCAAGATGTCTTATGGATCCTAAGAAAACATCTAGCAGCTAGCAAACACAAAAGTGAACAGTTAACACAAGCTGACAATGCCGCTTATCTGCTGGTTGGTAGTTAGTATTTTGGGGACTCTGATAAATTGAACATGATATATCAGTGGTTGTGTATGTATGTGTGTGTGGTGGTGGTGGTGGTGGTGGTTCTCCTTGGGTAAAGTTACCCCTTTTGTCCCCAGTGATTTACTGTGATAGTCCAAATGTTTAGAAGGATATTTTATGCTGAAATGTTAGGATTTTTCCACATGGGGATTAAAATGTGGGTGGAGAGGTGACTAAAGCCCTGCCGATAATTGGTTAACCAGGAAGCCTGTGTTGGCAGCTGATTTTTAAGGTCATTGTTAATTTCTTCACCTCCTCTTCCCACTACTGTTGGGGGCCTAGGTTCTGATGATGATTTTTCAGGTGATTTTTGTTTCTCCTTAAAAATCGATTTCCTGAGCTTTTGGGAAGGAAATGAAAGAACAGCTCCTGCTGAATCATTCCTGGATGAAATAGGATTTTGTCCTTTTTTTCATACTGGGTGTTTTTGCCAGTGACTTGGCTTAAATCCACAACCAGGCCTACCACCCACAACCCTTTGGCTCACCAAAGGTACGCAAGAAACTCTTTTTTTCCCTCAAGTTCACAAAAGATGAGGGGGAGGGGGGATGTCACCAGGTCCTCCACTGCAGTTTTTCCATTGTTTGAATATTAACTTAGTTACCAAGAAAAATCACAGCTTATGGGTAGTGATATAAAGAGCAGGGAAGAGGGTTCAGGTGAAGGTTGCACAAGGGGTACACATGTCAGCAGAAATCCTGGTTGTATGGTAACATTATCAGCTGCCCTTTTGGAGCTCAACTTGAAAGTGTGACTAAATCCCCTCTGGCTGCTATAAAGCTGGTACTTTAGACTGAAAACATTGTCAGGGAGAGTCCTCAGAGTGGAAGTTTGCCCAGGCCCGGCCCGAGCAAGTGGCCTGGTTATGGGAGGAACTAGTGACTAGCCCTGGGGACAAAGAAGGTCAAGGTTGCATCACACCCTTTGCCTGTTAAGTGGCCCCCGCTCCCGCCCAGTTCTGTACCCTGTTCTGAGGGTGTATTCTCTTTGGGTAACCAACTGTTTGTTACTTTGTAGTGTTCTCTGCCAGTAAGTTTGTAACACTCTGGTGACTCACCTATGGGTGGGAGGGTAGAAAAGGGGGAGGTCTGCATCATAAGTCTGAGAAGATTGAGAGTAGGCTAAACCTGACACCCCCACCCCTAAAGGGGGAGGGGAGATTTTTTAAAATCCAGTAAAGTGTTGATCCAGGGGACAGCTAAAACAAAATATCCAGACCCCTGGAAATGCTGTTTCTAAATTGCATTTAAAAATAAAAAGTGGTGAATTCAACATTATAAAGCACCATAGACTTGGTACTGAACATT